AGCAGGGCCTTGGCCATGAATAGAGGGTCAGCCAAGGAGGATTATCACAGCACTGTTTCTGGAAATGAAAACAAGAACCATCTCAGTGCTCGCAAACAGAAAATTGGTTAAATAAGTTAGCATACAACCTTGAGGTGATATAGATATATAGATGTAGACATATATGCACATATGTATATGTGTGTGTATATATATATATATATCACCTTAATAAACATGTTCTTGAAAATACTGAATGTATACAGAGAAAAGGAAAGTTGTAAAAGTGTGTGTGTACATAGGAATGTCTACTATGTATCTCACGTATAGTCAGCACTCTCATATCTTTGGGTTCCACATCTTCAAATTTAACCAAGTGTACACTGAAAATATCTGGGGGACAAAAGTGTCTGTACCAAGAACATATGCAGCTTTCTTTCTCTTCACTATGCCCTAAACAATACAGTATGACAACGATGTATTCTGCATTCACACGGTATCAATGTGCACTATAAATTAGGTCATGGAAGTAATGGAGAAATGACTTGACATATACAGCAGGATGTGTACAGGCTGTATGCAAATACTGTCCCATTTGATACAAGGGACTTGAGTTTCTGTGGATTTTGCTATCTGTCAGGTCTTGGAACCAATGCTGCACATATGTGAGGGATGACTAGATAAAGATACAGGTACAGATATGTGCTCATATGCATATATCTATAAGTGAGAAGAAAAAGTATAAAGATGAAATGGTAAGTTCAACTCCAAGAGGTCAGTGATAAATGATTCTTCTTCATCTTAATCAACCTCCCCATGAAGAGGAAAATCAAGGTCTTGGCAGGAGGGGCTGGCTGGGCACCGCTACAAGTGAGGCCCAGCATAGGTCCAAGCTATGGAGCAGGAGGTCCTGTCATAGCTGATCCTTACTTGTAATCCCCCTAGAACAGCCAGACTATTTTTCCTGAAGATAATAAAATTGCAAGCTTGTAAATTTGTGAGAAGCACTGTGGAACCTAGATGCTAGCTTAGAAATAACTGCAGTACAAACTTCCCTCAAGAATCTGAGGTAAGAAAGTTCAGTTCAAGTCAGAGTATTGTTTTTAAGGAAACTGAAACTGTGTCTCTCGGAGGGAAAACTCACCCATCAACTGTATTTACTAGGACTCCAGAACAGTTTATTTCTTTTTTTGTTGTTGTTCAAATGATGATTAATAATTCATTGAAGCAAGTCCTGCCTAAGGTCTGAGTAACAGAACTTTGGCAAGTTAGGTTCCCTTGATGATCACCACTTTCCTTTGCTTACATTTAAATCCATAATCCATTTTGAATCAATTTGATTTTTTTTTTCAGTACTGGAGTTAGAGCTCAGGGTCTTGAGCTTGCTGGGCTCAAGATGTGGTACCACTTGAACCACATCCTCCGCCCTCTTCTGCTTTTGTTCTTTTTCTTTTTTTTTTATTTTTATTTTATTCATATATGCATACAATGTTTGGGTCATTTCTCCCCCCTTCCCCCACCCCAGAATAGTTTATTTCTAACACAGTTTCTTTCTAGAAAGGCCAGATGGAAATGGCACCATGGAATGGTTCAATGGGGAGAGACAAGGAGGGCTGCGCCCCAGGACAGTCCCCAGAAGGAAGGCCAACCTTCATGCATCTGTGTGCCATCTGCAGCCCAGGGGCCTCGAATTCAATTACCCATCCTCATGCCTGAGTGCCAGGGGCCTGGGGCTCAGCAAGTCAGGGGAAGAAAGGCAGCAGAAAACTAAGAATGATATTTTTAAAATATATTGCACAGGAAAAGACAAGGAAGAGCCCTAAAGAATGGTTTGCAAATGCAGGTTGAGATCTGAAACAGTACCTGTCAGCCAGCAATTATTTAGTGAAAAACATTAATCTAGCATAGACTAAAGGAGACTAGAATAGAAAATGCCACTGTGAAAACCATGGAATAAGGGTACACATTTTTCATGAACCATTCTTCATCTTTATGAACACAACACACACTTGGGTGTACATACACAGACATACACACACATGGACACATGCACATATACAATGCTCAAACACACCCTACATGCATGTGCACACATTCACATGTATGTGCACGTAATGTACACACAATATATTCACACATACACACAGAGACATCACACATGCTGCTGGCCTGTTCAGACCCCACACGTGTGCACACTCACACACATTGGTATAGGCATATACACATATACATATAACTCACCAAAATATATACTCACAGACACAAACACTATAAGTAATATCCATTTCTTACTGTGACCTGAAGTCAAAATTTCCTTCTAGGGAAAATTCGAGTATTCTCAGCCCCCAACCGAACAACAGACTGCCTAGGTTATATGTGGGATGGTCTGTCCAGAATCATCCCAGAGAGAAGGGAGTAATATTAACAGAACTGAGTTAACATGTCACTGCCTGTGGTAACTGATTGCAAAGCCCCATTGCCCCAGTCTAGCACACTGATGCATGAGAGCTGAGAACAGGAAACTCCTGACACAGAACAGGGCCAACACAGAGGGTTCTCCTCAAGAAACATCTATGACCAGTCCCATCTGCCTCTCTCCCCTCCTCTCAGACTGCCCCAATATTTGTGGCATGACACTGAATTTCTTCACAGAAATGTACACTTAAAATGGGAAATGTCATGTTATTTCATCAAAATTTTTGGCCACAGTCCTGTTTTTAGGATACATCCAATGAGGGACAGTGAAGAGGCAGGAGGTGAGTTTGGGTGCCCCAGAGCAGGAACCTGGGAAGTGGAGATGACATTCAGTGGTTGCCTGACAGAGAGGAGGGAATGGAGGCAACACCCACACTTCCTGTAGCTTCCTCTCCAGCCTAACATGAAATGCCGCCCATGCGTCAGTCTTCCCACTTCAATGAAATAACCTTATTCAAGTCTGTCATTAAATCAGATGGAATGATTTTAACACAATGGCACAATGTTGAAAACCCTCCTATGAGGCCATGTTGACCCTACAGTGACTTATAGTCTGAAATGTCTCTGGTTCTGCCTTCCAGAGGCACAAAACACTATGGGCAAGTCTAACCTGTGACATGGATGTGAGTGGGGGGTCGGTTCTGAGGAGGGGACTACAAGATGACAACTCTCACAATCAGAAAACCCTAACCAGGTCATCCGGAATAACTCCACAAGCCATGGGGGGCAAGCTGACTTCCAGGACACAAGTGAGAGGGTGCAGACAATCCACAAAATCAAAGCAGTCAACAGGACCACCCTCAGCCACAGGAAACTCCTCAGGGTGGAAAATTCTTTATATAAGACAATGCACAGTTGGATTTCCATTTAAAGATAGTAAAACAAAGAGTTAAAACAGCACAATAACCAGGGTCCCACGATAGGAACCTCCTATCGTGAAATCTCCAGCATGAAAAAGCAACTATGGTGAAACAATACAGTACCAAGTCAGCAGCGAGGGAGGCAGCAAGTCAAAGGAAACCCATGCACCTGTCTCACAGATGCAGCTTTGCATCAATGCATGAACGTCAATGTCACTAACTTTGCTCATGTCTTACAATGAACACTCCACAGTGGAGACCCCAGTCTCTACTCACTAAGTGATTTGACTTTCAGGAAAGCAGGCAGACACAAGTCAAGCCCGATCAAATTTAATAATGTAAGAATATATTTAGCAATCTAAAATTACTTCTGGGCACAACACTTCCGACAATTTTTATCTATTCTTACACAATATGTGTCTGTTTTTCTAAAATGCCACGGGATTCAGTAGTAAAATGTTCCAAGCACATTGCTAATTTTAACCTTGGAACAATAAGGCAGCTTTCGGCAATATCAAATCGCCAAAATAACTAACCTAACACTTGATATATGCAACACATGCCTTTCTCAACAGATCACCAATTTTTAGACCAAATTCATGTAGCTATCAATAAATTATGATGAAGAATCCAACAGCTCTCCCAGCCAGCTGTACCATTCCAGAGGCAAAATGAAGTTATGGCTTTATTCATATCTAGTCAGTCTGGTTCGTGTCACAGCAATCAGGAGACATTCTAAACACACACACACACACACACACAAACACCCCACAGGCACTCACACACATATTCATACACACACTTAAACATATAGTCACAGTCACACACTCACACACTCTGAACACACACACACCCCTTTGTTCAGACCACATGGCAACACTCCAAACTGGGAAATATCTTTGAGACAACAGTCATAAGAATGTTTTCTGAAGTCACACAATAAAAGGACATTGAAAGAGTACAGTAACAGAAGAGGTGGACACAATGTGGAAAGAAAGCCAGAAGTTAGTCACTTAGAAGGGTCATGTTCTTTGAAGGAATTATCACAGGCGGTTATCTGCAAATTGCACAGCTTCTTCTGTAAGAAGTCAGCCCATAAAAGTCACAAAACTGGAACACCCTGGAATGTGGGACCCTGGTACTGCTCCTTATGCCCTGGACTCAGTAAGTGGACTGAGGACACTGGGGTCTTCCAAAGGAAAATAGGGTGAGAGCAAGCGATCACCAGTGAGAGAAAGAGAAGGACTATGGGCGTGCTGGATCCCCCGCCCTTCTGCACAGGCAATGACAATGACTAAAGCACAAGATGTAACACACTGCTAGGGCAGTTTGTGGTCAGCCTGGCATCCATGGCTCTGTCTGCCTCAGTCTGCAACAGAGTCCCAGAGTCCAGGACACCTAGGCAAGCTAGGCATAAGACATGGCTGTCATCAATTTGCACCTGTGAATAAGATAAAGTAATTCAGAACTTCCCACAGGCAAGGGAGCAAAGAGATAAGCAAAGAGACATTCCAGCCCACCTAGGGAAGAAGCAGAACAGAAGACACGCACATGCAGCATGGTGAAGGTCATTACCAAAGTGACTCCTCAGCCTCCACTCTGGTTCAGCAGGGTGTGCTGCTGCCTCTGCCAACCCACACAGGGAGTCCTTCCTCCAAAAGTCGACTGACTGCTGGGGACACCCACCTTCACGCGGACCGTCTGGTCAGACATGCTGCTCATCATGCCGTTGATGGAGCGGAAGAGCTGCAGCAAGGACTCCACGAAGTCGGCCTCCCCCTTGTTCTCATACAGTCTGCAAGGCAAGAACAGGAAACGGTGGGGCCTGTGGAGAATGCACACACTGCTGACACTGCATCTACGGCCATTAAGGGGTGCCTGGGGACCAGTCAGAGCATGGGGCGACTTCCCCAACATCCCAACATCCACGCAAGGTAGGATTCAACCTTGAGACTAGTCCAGACCACACAGCTATGGATTCATGCCTCCACATGACACAGAGAATGCGCAATGACACTACTTATTGCTGTGTTCCTGGTAACACGACCCATTTCATACGTCTGAAAAACAGAAAACATATACAAAGGGAATGCTGGAAGGACATGGGGAGGAGGGAAGAAAAGGAGGAGGGAAGAAAGATGAGAAATTCAGCTTTAACTGCACTCCACAGAAAATACACTATAAACTGGTGCGTTTTCTGCCAGGATCCTGAAATTCATAATGCTACATAATTAACAATCATGCTGAAACTTAATTGGGTAAATTTAACGTGATCTTATAACCATTTGAAAATGACATTATAATGGTAAATTCAAAATTACTTCAGTCAGGTACTATACAGAGCCCACGGTAACTGGAAATCTTTCAAGAGCTGCAACATATTCAATAAACGGATAATAAGGAAGTTATACACTGGCATATGTATGCTAATTGTAAATAAGCATCTATAAATTATCTATTAGCAGTTACTTCAACTTGCTGTTACTAAAAAGCAATGCATTTGCATCTTAAAATGCTGCAACTCAGATGTTTTATTAATATGGACTAGTTTTCTGCCTAATTAAAAGCATAGTCTACCTGAAAACTTGTGTAAAATGGAAAATTTTATAAACTAAGTGATAATTAATTACCCTAGAGGTAATCTTACATTTAAATGAGTTTCACTGTAAAGCAGAGTTCTGTGTAAAATGGGGAATTGCAAACTAGTGTGTCTGTTGTGTAAATAAAGGTTTCCAACTAGAGGGCCCCTTGTAAAAAAACAACTGAAATATGGTGTTCGGAACTTGTACTTAGGAGTGGCGGGGAAACAATGGCAGGTTGGTACAAAGCCTTGGTGAGGAGAGAATGGGCAATCTCCCCCACCCCAGGAAATTCACCCGTTCCTGGAGCTGCGTGGCATGCCAGACTAAACCAAAATGAAAGTCTCCAGAAAGAAGAATGGAAGAGGAAATGACTTCAACTTGGAAAATGGCAGCAAGAAGAGCCACAGATAACACAGCAGACTCTTGGGTGAAAACGCTGGAAAGAATGAAAGATCAAATGCAGACAGAGGCTCACAGGGGCATCACCCACCTGTCTCTGATGAGAACAAGGTGCTCAGCCCACTCTCTCAGGCCAATAGAGAACACATGGATCCTCTCCGGAAGAAGACAATGCTTCTGAAAGAATTGTTGGGAATTTTTACAGTTTCTCACATACACACACACACACACACACACACTCAAACCATCAAGTAAAATTCAATAAACTGAGCAAAAAACAAAAAAGCCACATGGCCAAATCAAAGAGGAAAAGAAGCCAATACAAACTGACTCACAGGTAATCCAGACACAGTAGCTAGCTACAAAGAACATCAAAGTAACCCACATTATGTTTTAAAACAGATTAAACAGAAAGATGGAAAAACAGAAGGTAAGGTGGGACATTTTAGCAGAGAAATGAACCTGTAAAAAATAAATGAAAATGCTAAAATTAAAGGATATAATATCTAAAATTAAGAACTCATTATGTAAGTTAACCAGAGAGTAGACACAGCAAGAGACAGAAATAGTGAAATGGAAGAAAAATCACAGAAAAATAACAACACAGAAGTAAAAAGGAAGAAAACACAGAAAAGAGTTTGGAATATGAAGGAACATAAAGAGAGAGCATGCACATATAATCGAGGTGTGGGGAGAAAAGGAGAGACTATGAAGCAGAAGAAGCATTAGGACAGACACCACCATGAATTTTCCAAAACTGATGAAAGACTAATTCAAAAATCCAACAGAGGATTTTGAAAACATGAAAGCCTTCATATGCAGCCACAGTGAGACTGCAAATAAGCACAGAGAGACTCTATAAAGGCAGCTAGAGGAAGAAAAAAAATGACATTATTTACCTTCAAAGACACAACAAAAAGGCTAAAGTAGACTTCTCCACAGAAATGATAGAAACCAAAAGAAAATAGAACAGCACCTGGAGGAAGAAAATAACTGGCAATCTAGAATGCTGTATTAAGAGAAAATATCTTTCAAACACAAAAATGAAATAAATAATTTTCATACAAACAAAGCCTATAGCTGACTTCTACTAAAAGAATTTCTACAGGAAGTTCTTTTGACAGGAGGAAAATGATCCCAGAGCAAAACATGGAAGTAAAGGAGAGATGAAAAGCCATTACCAGTATAAAACACAGCCAATGAATGCTGACAATACAAACAGCAATGTCTGACAGACTTTCGAATATACATAGAATTTAAATGCATGGTAATATTAACACAAAAGAGAGAAGAGAGTAAGTGTTCTATTTACCTAGCCAGATCTAGAATGATCAAGGAAGTGACAACAGTGACGATCTGCATTACACTCCACTCAAACACGCATGTGTTCAGCTGGGGTAACTCTCGAGAGACTAGAAAAGATTAAAGGAACAGAATATGCAATGATAAACAGAAAGGGTTGGTATCAAAGATGGCAAAAAAGGAGGAAAAGGAGAACAAAATAAGGATTGCTAAAAAAAAGAATGTTAATAGAAAAATAATAGACAGAAGCATGCGAAAAAATGTAAGTTGCCAGAATCAAAATGGAATCACTTGTGTTAACCTTACCAAAAACAAGTAAATAAAGGCAGGAGGCTAACCCACACCTGCCTGATACTATTCCAAAGACTGCCAGAACCACAAACCCACACAGAAGTCACCAAAACATTACCTGGAAAGTGCTTCTAGGACAGGTGCTACACACCTACCGTCCCACCTAATCAGGAGGCAGAGACAGGAGGAATACCACTGAAGGCCAACCTGGGCAAAGTTAGGGAGACTCTATCAAGAAAACAAACTAAAAGCGAAAGGACTGGAGGTGTGGCTCAGGTGGTAAGAGCACTAGCCTGGCAAGCACGAGGCCCTGCATTCAATCCCAAGTACCACCAAAAACAAAACCTAAAAAGGACCTCTCCCAAAATATCTACCCATCAACTATCTGCTCAGACTCAGAGTGGTGACACGCTTGTTTTTAGTCACTGTGGACAAGAGTTGCCATTGAAATATCTAATGTAATCATCGTATTTTTCTCTTTAAAAACATTGCCCTACATGATAAAAGCGAGAGCGCACAAGGGAGGGGTGAGGATAGGGAAGACACCTAAAAAACTAGCTAGGATTTGATGCCCTTAATGCAGAGAAACTAAAGCAGATACCTTAAAGCAACTGAGGCCAATAGGAAAAGGGGACCAGGAACTAGAGAAAAGGTTAGATTAAAAAGAATTAACCTAGAAGGTAACACCCACGCACAGGAAATCAATGTGAGTCAATGCCCTGTATAGCTATCCTTATCTCAACCAGCAAAAACCCTTGTTCCTTCCTATTATTGCTTATACTCTCTCTTCAACAAAATTAGAGATAAGGGCAAAATAGTTTCTGCTGGGTTTGGGGGGGGGGAGAGGGAGGGGGCTGGAGTGGGTGGTAAGGGAGGGGGTGGGGGCAGGGGGGAGAAATGAACCAAGCCTTGTATGCACATATGAATAATAAAAGAAAATAAATAAATAAATAAATAAATAATAAAATAAAATAAAAACATTGCCTTGCTCAACCTTTGAACATGCCCATAATTTACGACAGCATGCATATACCCACTGCAATGATTGCTAAATAAATATCGTTATGCTTTGGAGAATCTCATCTGACAATTTTTTTTTAATTTACATTGATGTGTGGTGACTAGAAACAACCTGAAACAAGGCCACCTTGAGAGCAAACATGGGACTGGACAGTGGTCCCCATGTTGAATCCTTTGCACCCCAGCTCCATGGTGCACTTTGTTCTGTGCTGATGGGTCTTCTCTCAGGCCCAGGATCCCCTCTTCTTGGTAGAGGATCCCTGGTCATGTTATTTGAAGAATTCTTTCATTAAGAAGCAAGGCAGACTTCCTTTGGGTCAATTTGGAGACTACACCCACTAGGGGTCTCTTGGAAGGAGCTGTTTGTTTTCCCAGGAAAGAGTTTGGGTAAGAGTAATTTTGGCTTTTCTTGGGTCCTAAGCAGAATGTAATTAATTCAAACTTCGTAAGGAAAGATCCCCCCAGAATTCCTAGGAATAGCTCTAACAGGAGCTCCCCTCCTCCCGCAGCTCTGCTCTTGTTTAGCAGGGATTTCTTCCCTGTTCTTTAATGTAACTGAGTTCCTGGTAACCCCTTATCACCTGCTGCCAGTCAAATCACTATAGATTCTTTGCACAAAGAATACTTTTCTTCAATCTACATGCCTAATTTAAAACATTGTTGTGAACATTGTTGAGATCATCCCTACCCTGCAACTATGGGGTTAACATTTTCCTTGTTTTCTCTTCAGAGTTTGAATATGCTGACCTTTTTCAACCCATATGAAGATAATTTTGTTATTCAAGGGTGTTTGGAAATTTGTTATTTCAGCTAGATCTAGCTGAAAGGTAAACATCGAAGAGTTAACTCCTTACCTCATTTGAGATGGGGAAAAGGAGAGAAAATAAATAAAAGGTAAAAACACTTCCTTAAAAAAACCACACTGCACAGGCTGGAGGTGTAGCTCAAGTGGTAGCATGCACAAAGCCCTGAGTTCAAACTCCAGTGTAGCCTCCAAAAAAAAGGTTGTGTATGGTGGATCAAGCCTGTAATTCCAGCTGCTCAGAAGGAGGGGATCAGAAGATAGCTAAGATAGCTCAACCAATGGCTGGGTGCACGCCTGTCATCCCAGCTACAAGGGACACATAAATCCAGGTTAGCGCAGGCTTAAACCAAAACACTATCTCAAAAATAACCAATGCAAAAAGGGCCGAAGGCATGG